GAGGGAGGGAGGAGAGGCCTTTTCTGCAGAGCCGCCCCCCCTCCCCTTTCTCTCTCTCTGCCTTCTTACCTGGGGGGGAGCCTGGCGGGCAAGTCTGGGGGGAGGGGGCTCCCACTGCTGGGCCAGCCAAAGAGCATCCAGACGCCCCCTCCTGCTGGCGTCTCTGGACCGGCTCCACACCCAGCCCAGCCCTCACACGTGTTGACTCACAGCTCCAAGGACCGGCAGCTGCCACTCACCTTCACTTTGCGGACCTCGTTGGCCTGGAACTCCGGGGTGCAGTTGTGGTGGATGATCCCGATGCCCCCCATCAGCTGCAGGGGGAAAGACGGGGAGCCCTGAAGTCCCAGGGCCGGGGGGGGGGGGCTGCCCAGCCCAGGCAGCAGCCGTGGCTTCTGCCCTCTGGCCCCAGAGCGGAAGTGCCCCTGCTTTGGCCTCCCCTGGGGAAAGGGGGTCCGGGAGGAGCTCATCCCCTGGGCATCCTCAGACCCACATTGAGTGCCCCACCCACCCCAGAGGGTTCGGCCCTGGAAGAGCTCACCGCCATGGCAATGGCCATGTCCGACTCCGTGACGGTGTCCATGGGGGAGGAGATAAGGGGGGTCTTCAAGGTGATTTTCCGGGTCAGAGCGGAGGTCAGGTCCTGCAAGGGAGGAGGGTGAGGGTCAGCTCGGTCTTCTGTCCACCAGGTGTCCCTCCCCCGTCCTCTCCCAGGCCAAGCTGGAAGGCACCCCTCCCCCTTTCAGCCTTGCAGAGAAGCTAAGGCTGATGGTGAGGAAGGAGGACCTGAAACTGGGGGAGGGGGCGACCTGGGGGTGAGCGATCTGCCCCTCGGACACTGATGGCCGAGCGAAGCCACAGGAGCCAAGTTGGAGCTCTCAGCGCAAGGGAGCTGAACAGGACGGCTGTGCCCCCTCCACCCATGATGGGTTCCCCAGAGGCCCCCTGCCAGACTCACCACTTCATCTGCCGTGAAGTCGATGAAGCCAGGAAGGATCAGGAAGTCACTGCAGAGAGAGGCAGAGACATCACCCCATGCCCGATGCAACGGGAAGCAGGAGGCGGACCACTCCTGGCCTGGCACCACATGCAGCCCGCAGCTGATGCGGCTGCCCATCTGGTAAAATGCAACTCTGGGCAGCTCCACAGCCAAGAAACCCAACACTGGACCCCTCCTCTCTCATCCATCAGTCCGGGACATGTCACACCCCAACCTCTCCCCACTTAAACCACGGACAGGCACCGACCACGAAGGAAGAGAACCACTGCGAGGAGCCTCCAGCTGCCAGAGCAACGTGGAAGGTCACCAGGAGGGCTGGGACAGCCACACCACCTCCGTCGCCAGCCCTCCAAAAGTCAGCACACCCTAACATAACCTGGCCAGAATCCAGCCAGAAACTGCTGGGCAGCAGAGGAGAAGGAGGCTGCAAGGCTGTTGGTCAGCCAAAGTACCTTTTCAGATCAAAGAGACATCACCAACATTGTCCAGAGTGTGTGTGTGTGTGTGTGTGTGTGTGTGTGTGTGTGTGTTCAGTTGCCCTCCTCTGTAGCACAAATAAGAAAGAACAGGCAGCAGCAGTGCAGTTTACAAGACTGGAAAGGGTGGGGGCCTGTTTAACCTCATCCCCCACGACCCAGCCTGTACTTTGAACCAGCCCGTTGCCTAGAGCTGGGCTGCGATTTCTCCGTTTCTGCTTCCCGTGGTGTTTAACTTGCACAAAGGTTTTCTATTCACTGGATAGAGTTCAAGGCTGTGCCAACTCTGAACTGTGAACTGGGGATACCCCGAAAGGGCTTTGAACCTTTATCTAACTTTTCAATTTTAATACAACAGAGTTTATACACATGAGACGATGCCAGCAAGGCAAAACAAATTGTAAATCCTCAACTAGATCAAAATTGCCGAGGTTTCGATCAGGAAACAAAGTGGATCCAAGCCAGTCTTTCAAACCCCAGAGGAAGCTTTCCCAAAGGCCCCCCGCCCCATTCCGAGACCCCTGCATCATCGCCCCTTCTCCCTTTGACCGCATGCTCAGCTTTAAAGCGGAAAAGGACCCCGCCTTCTCCCTGGGCAGTCCGTGCACTCGGTGACGGGCACATGACCTTGGTGCAGGGACCAAGGCGCTGCTCCCTTATCCCTGCACAGACCCCCACTCTGAGCAGCCTGGCTCAACCCTGCCCACAGGCCCCCACCCCCAATTTCCAGCAGAGCTGACCTGTGGGGACACATTCTCTCCTTGAAACGTGAACCGAAGGCATTTAAGTGACACGTTCCACGAGGCCCGGCAGGTGCCCAAACGAAGAGCAAATGAATATCAATTTAATTTGGGACAGAGCCTAACAAAGATCAGACCCTCCTTCCCACAAGCCCCAGACTCAGGATGACTGCCCCCCCCCGGCTGGTGTGAGTGGGTGATCAAAAGCTCACCAGCCACCACCCCCAGCCCTGAAAGAGGAGGCTCTGGGCATGCCACCTGCCAGCTTCGAAAACCAGTGTTTTGTTTAAAACATCGGTGCCCAGCCCGTCCCCTAAAGCAGGGGTCTGCCACCTTGACAAGTTCTGCCCTAAAGGATTCTGGGCAAGGCTCAGCAGTCAAACATTAACAGAGCCCACCACTGGAAAGAAGCAACCAGACAGGTTAAACACCGGGGCTGTTTACACCTGCCATTAAGCAGGGCCTTTATCGACATGGGAAATATCCTAACAATTTCCCTGAAGAGATTTAAAAAGGAAACGTAAGTAAAACCGGGCCTGCAGACTGGGAAGAAGGCATGCAGCCCCAGCCCCCAAAGAGAGGCCCCTGCCCCTAACTCCGAGGAAGGGGGCACCCCACTTCTCTGGCCCCAACGGCTCTTGCGGTTCAGAAGGAGCTAATTTTAACCGCTGGTTTTCTCTGTCGGAAAGGAGAAATGAAACAAATGCCCACTTGATTATAAACCTTGCTTGGCCGAGAAGCACTGAAAGTGAAACCGGAGGTGGGGGAGGAGCGAGTCCACCTTTGGAGTGCCCACTGACCCCCCACAGCTGGAGGGGGGAGCCCAACCAAGGAAACAGGTGTGGAAGGAGCTGCACACATTCAGCGAAATCAGCACAAGTTAGAAAAGTCTGGTTGTTGACAGAGCCACAAGGGGACTCCTTTGCTGGGCCCCCCCCCCATGCACCTCACACGTGGAGAACTCCTCTCGGCTCCTCCGTTCCTTCCTTCCCTTTTTCCGAAACCAGGACCAAGAACGGAAGGCCTCCCCCCTCCGGCAAAGTCTGCACAATGATCTGCAAAGCTGACAGGATGCTCAGCCTGCCCCCCCCCCCCACGGTCCTGCCTCACTTCTCCCTGCTTTGCTATTTTTGTGGGGGACCCCGCTGCAGCCCCCCTGCATGGGGACAGGCAGTGCTGGGCTCTTGCTGCGCCAAAGGAGGCGCCCGTCTGCTTCTACCCCTGTTGCCTGCTGAGTCCCTGCAGTGCCTCTTAGTAGGAAGGCAAGCCAGGCTGAGGCCTGTCCAGCCCTGGGTTCAGGGCCCTGATCTGGGGCCCAGGCCCCATTGGGCATGAAGAGGCTGCCAAGGTGGTTGAGAAGCCCCTCCCCATCCTGGGGTTTCCCACCCTCAGAGCACTGACCTTTTAAAAGGCATGAAAGCCCCCAGCCCAGGGGCAGGAGGCTAAGGCCTATCCCCACCACAGGCGGCCCCAGGTGTGCAGTGGGGCCAGGCCCAGTTGCACCAGCACACATTTGGACCCGGATGTAAGCAGCACCGTGGGGGTACGTAGCAGCCCCTCCGAGTAAACACTCCTGGAGCCTTAAGACTTCCAAGACGATGGGGAGAAAAGCCTGGCCCAAAGACCCTCTCGGTGGCATTGCACCCCCCCCTGCAGAAGAGCATCTTCTCAGGGGCAGGAGGGGCGGGCCCCTGCCCAGCTGCCAACCAGGCTCCAGGCACCCCTGCCTCCGCCCAGGGCCGGGGCGAAGGGATGCTGCGGAGGCTGGTTTTGCAGGCCAGGTCTGGCTCGCAACGGTTTCTGCCCAGGGCCCGCTTCTCAGTCAAAGGGGTCGGCAGAGACCCCTCTAAGCTGCTGCGTGGACGCGGTTCGGCCCAGACACGGGCCTCCCGCAATGGCTCAGCTGGAGGTCGGGGGGGGGGGCGGAGGCACCATCAGCTGAGCAAAGGGGGGCAGCTTCTGCCCACGGCAGCAACGGGGTCCCTCTCCCCTCCGGCAGCCGCCGCCTTCCAGCCACCACGGAGAGGCGAGGCGAGGCGGGCGGCCCTTCCACGCGCTGCCTCCGCGTCGCCAGCAGCCCCTCGCCTGGACTCGCGCAAGCCCGCAGCGCCCGGCCGGCCCCCGAGCGTCGGGCAGGGCGCGGACCTTCCCAGGCCGGGCAGAGGTGCGCCCCGCTCCGCAGAGCCACGTGCGCCGCCGCCGCCGCCGCTTCCTCCAGGCCGCCCCCCCCCGCCCTGCCCCCCCGGATCCTCCGCCCGGGCGCCGNCCCGCCCCCGCCCCCCGCCCTACCTGAGCCCGGGAGGGCGGGGCTTCGGAGGGGGCACCGGCGCGCCTCCCCTCGTCCCCGGCCCGCCGGGAGGCAGCGGCCGCCGCGCCCGGGCCCGGAGAGTCACGTGCTGTGGGCGGCGGCGGCGGCGGGAGGCAGCCCGGTTCGCGCGAGGCTGGCCGGCGCTTCCTTCGGCCGGGAAGCGGGGCTCGTGACCGGGGCTCGCGTGACCTGGCTCCGGCGGCCTTCCTGCCCGCAACCGGGGCCTCAGTCGGCGAACTCCGAATCGGCTGGGCAAAGGCAGCCCCCCCCCCCTCGCCTGGGGCGGCCCCTCCCTGGGCCAGCCTGGCCTCCGCCCCCCCCCGCGCCCCTCCCCGCCCGGGCTGCCCTGCAGACGCCTCCGCTGGGATTCCCCTGGCTGGGCGGGCCCGGGTCGGGGTCGGGGTCGGGGTCTGCCCGGGGAGGGACTTGTCTGAGGAGGGTCAGGAGGAGAGGCGGCCCTGGGGCTCCTCGTGCTGGCCCTCCCCCAGGGGCCTTTCCCCACCCCACCCCCCCAGGGTGGCTGCGGTGGCCCCGTCCCTCCCTGGCCCAGAAAGGGGCGGGGGGAGGGGACAAGCTCTTCCTCCAGGCCAAATTCACTTTTTTCTGTGATTTTGACTTGTCTTTATCAGGCTGTTGTGGCTGTTTCTTTATTTTTCTGAGCGGCCCCTTTGAGTGAAGCCAAAAGAGAAACCCAGGAACCCCCTCCTCATTCCGCCATCCGGTGGGAAGGCCTAGTGGCTATGCTTTGCCCCAGCAGCCCAGCCCAACCTCAGTCCAGCTGACGGACGGCCTGGCCACAGGGATCAGGAGAGGGGGGGCAAGGGTCTCGCAACCCCCATACCCCCCCGTGTGTCTCAGATTGGCATTTGGTGCAAACCAGCTCCACCTTGGGGTTCGTGGCACAGAGCCCAGCTGACGTCCCCCCCCCGCATCTGCACCCCCTTCCTGATGGGCAGTGGCCACCACGAGCTCATCCGGATCTCCTGACCAGGGCATGATAGCCAGGCTCAATTAAACGCCTGCCTCCTTCCCAGACCCGTGATTCCAATTTGCCCCCAGCCGAGGCTCCCCCCCCTGGGAAGGAGAATACAAAGGCTGGCACTGAGGTTCCAGGAACACATGCGGGGGGGGGGGAGCTGAGGGGGTCCATCTGCCAAGAAAAAGGGGGGGGGGAGGAGAGAAGCCTTGCTCCCCAAAGGACAACATCTAGGATCTCAAGGCCAAGGCCCAGCACAGCAGCCCCGAGAGCGCCTGGACTGAGGCGGGGTGCCACTTTCGGGGGGAGGGGGCAGGACCGGGTAAGCGCTCTCCAGGGTGCAGGCCTAGCCGGCAGCAGATAAGAGCAGGGCCTTTTCCACATCCTGGGCTAGGTTGACCATTGCTGCCCTGTTGAACCCTGGGAACTGTAGTTCCAGGCAGAGCCACAGTTGCTTGAAAGAACAGGTGCCTTTCTAGCACCCGTAACGTTTCCCATCATGCTCCT